TTTGGATCTGAAGATCTTGATATGAAACCTGCCAGGCCACCAAGTAAGTTATATGCTATTTAACTCCTCTCCATTTATAAACACTCAAATTATATAATATTTTAGCAACGAATATTCTTGCGGCGAAATATTTTGTTCTTCTTGATATACAAATGTTTTATTAATATTAAAAAATGTTTTCAGGTGTGAATAGTACAAGTACAGATGCTGCTGTTAACACGCCAGAGATTAAGAAAGAGATTCCAATTAGGACAAAAACTGAACCATATAAAACAAGAGACAGGTTATCCGGGAATAAAGCTTGAAATATTGGATAGTGAACCAAAGATTTAGTATTTTCAACAGACATGGATAGCAAAACGATACAGAAACTTTGCAAGTATGTGAATATAATAATAATAATATTGCTAAAAGTTTCAAAATTTGATAAGGTGCTATGTATTGAATGATATATATTCATTTGAGGCATTAGCGATAAACATTTTATTAAATTTGAATTAGAACTTCTTAGTTTGTAATATATCTGATATTAACTAGTTTAGAATATACATCATAACTATTTTCCTTTTCAGAGCAATGGGTGTAAAAGATGTGCCGACATGCTCCATCCTGGGGTCCGATGTACCTCCACCTAGTCCGCCGTTGCCCTCCTTTGCGTTTAACAGAAGAACAACTCCTGCCACCTACGCCCTCAGTTTATCTAGAAATAAAAAAATGCCTTCAGTCCTCAACTCCAAGAGTTCTGTCTAAAACATCCTATCGCTGTGGTCAGAGGGTTGGCCGCCGCCTTAAAATTAGGTAAGGAATAAATAAACCATTTTAAAATGGTACACTTAAAATTATATATTATTATAGGATTATAATATTTAGGTGAAGAGGCATTAATGGATTTGCTTTAATTTTTTATATTCATTATTTCTTTCCAGATTTAGGATTATTTTCAACAAAGACTTTGGTCGAAACAAATCCAGATCACACGATAGAGGTGCGCACGCAGATGCATCAGAGCGCCGACGAAAACTGGGATCCTTCGATGGGCCGCAAAGTTTGGGCCTGCATATCGCACAGATCGCACACTACGATTGCCAAATACGCACAATATCAAGCAGCGAGTTTTCAGGAAAGTCTAAAGGTATGAATAAATTAATTAACTTGAAAAAATTAGCCTAGATAAATATTTTGTTATCTTATTTATATGCTCCAGAAAGTCATCACGTTTTACTACCAAAAAATCATATAGTCCAGTCATTATAGTAAGTTCACCTCGGAATTCGGAGATAACCCAGCTGTAACTCTATAAATACTTGTATTTTGTACCCTAAAAGTTGTCTTAAAACCTACATATGTTGTGTACACACCTACCATACACCTTTATGCAGTTGAACAACTTTAGGGTGCAAAATACAAGTATTTACAGACTTACAGCTGGGTATCTCAAATTCCGAGATTCTTACCTATTTTAAGCTTAAATGACTGGACTAATATTCTTTTTGTAATTGTATTACTAATATTTATTTTTGTTATATTTTTGTAGGAAGAAAAGGATAAATTGCCAGGTGTTTCTATAAATAATTTATCCGATTCAGATTCAAAGGATTCTACAGGAAATATTATGAAAAAGAAGACAAAGGGTCTAGGTGCTAGGACAAATGGATCAAAAATGTTGAAGTAATTATTATATTTAATTGACATGAATTAATTTTCTCCTAGATAATGCATTTATAAAATCATGCTATTTATTGAAGACTGATTCATTTATTTATCTCCTATTAATTTTTGCTCCTATTTATTTGTGCTTTTTTATTATATTTCAGGTTTGGAACGAATGTAGATTTATCGGACGAAAAGAAATGGCGGGCTCAACTTCAGGAATTAATGAAACTCCCAGCATTTGCTCGTGTTGTTTCTGCAGGAAACATGTTATCTCATGTTGGTCATGTTATATTGGGAATGAATACTGTACAACTTTATATGAAGGTATGTAATAAAAAATCTCTTTTATTTTTTAAAGGCTACAGAGGCTTAGAGGCCATGTCCAAATTAGGTTAAGTTGGTTACAAATTTGAATTTTTATACACTCCAAATATATAAAATCTTTTTAGCATTATATAATTTTTTCAATTGGATCTAATTGTTTTTTTACTATTATAGGTTCCAGGAAGCCGGACACCCGGTCACCAAGAAACAACAATTTCTCTGCTCCATCAATAAACATTGGGCCAGGCGATTGTGAATGGTTTGGCGTTCCTGATGCATACTGGGGCGGAATACAAGCTCTTTGTGAACAGAACAATATTAACTATCTTCATGGCTCATGGTGGCCTAAACTTGAAGAACTCGCTGCCAATAATATTCCTGTTTACCGATTCACGCAAAGACCTGGTGATTTAGTGTGGGTGAACGCTGGTTGTGTGCACTGGGTGCAAGCCATAGGCTGGTGTAATAACATTGCTTGGAATGTGGGCCCATTGACCGCAAGGCAATATTGTTTGGCTATTGAACGTTATGAATGGAACAAATTGCAGAGCTTCAAAAGTATTGTACCCATGGTACATTTGAGTTGGAATTTGGCAAGAAATATCAAGGTTTCAGATCCCAAATTGTTCCAGGCGGTTAAGTAAGTTGATACTTTTAGATTCATATATGTAATTTTCTTTTATTTGATAATGTTATCTATATTAGATTAATATTGTAGGTTTATTCTTTTGTAATTAAGAGCTAAGATCCATTGTTTTCTTTCTATGATTTTTTTTTTATTTAAAATTAATTGAAAAATTGGTAAACAGTAATAATACAGAGATATTTTGATCTATAACAAATTTTTATAATGGTAAAAATAGTATTAAATGAAGATTTTAATCATTCATGATTGATTTACAGAAATTGTTTACTACAAACATTGAAGCACTGCATGCTTGTTTTGGATTTTGTTAAATCTAAAGGAGTCGAGGTCAAATTTCATGGTCGAGGGAAGAATGAGGCATCCCATTATTGTGGGCAATGTGAAGTAAGTTGAAATAATTTGAGTCAAAATATATCTAAATTGCATGATATTCTTTAATTTTAATTACTCAATTAATCAATCACTATATACAAATCTAAATATTATATATATTATATTTTATTGGAATATTGTTTAATTCTATCTGATGTATATCTCTCTTTGTCTGTATGAAACAAATATTATGAATTCAAAAAATCAAAAAAAAATTCTACTAATTTTACATCATAGTATTAAAATATCTTCTTAGATATTAGTTCCATTAAGTTTATGACTTTATGTTTCTGCAATATAATACTTGATCAAAAATTCTCTTATGTAGAGATTCTCTTATGAAGATATTTTTTGCGCCTAATTATTTTGAAAATAAAATATATAACAATTTAATTTTCAGCTTGAAGTATTCAACATATTATTTATTCGAGAACAAGAGAAAAGACACGTCGGGCATTGCATAGCATGTGCTCGTAGGCAATCTCCAACCTTAGAAGGATTTGTATGTCTAGAAGAATTCAAAATGCAAGAGTTGATGGAGGTTTATGATGGTTTCACATTACATCAACCTCCTCAACTATCTCCAAGCAGCAATAATTCACTATATTAATATATGTGATCATTGAAAAAAAATTTATTTGGTGCTGCCGATATCACGTTTTACAATTTTAGCGAAAAATTAAACAGCAATATTTTTATATCAAATTTTATTAATTGGAGTTTTATCTTTTTTATCTTTAATCTTGATGTTCAGCTATTTTCTGCTAGCACATACTTGATATATTTTACCATATTGAATAGGATTATCATACTGTGTTCAGAATGATGTAGAGCAATTTGAATGGATATATATATATATATATATATATATATATATATTATATATATAAGCCAAATAAGATTAAAACGATTTATATTGTATATATGTAGGTGTGCATGAGAGAATGTATTGAAATTGTATATAATTTTAGATTGTAAATATTCTTTTCTAATTATATAAATATTTGTATTTTGACTTAACAATATAGCTATGTTCTGAAATAGCGTACACTACCATCTTAAATATGATTAAAAATACAATATTTTATTATGATTAAGAAACTTATTTATATATAATGGCATATTGAGCTACGTAATAAATCTAAATTATTTAATATTTTCATAGATCCAGCTGTGAAAATGATTAGTGCTATTTAAATGTATTTTAATTTATGGTTAATATTCAATTGACATGGCATACATAAAGATAAATGTCTGTATAAATTAGTTAGGACTATGGATCTCATGCCTTTAGCTTTCAATTGTAGTCGTTTAAGAATATTTTATTGACAGAATATTTAATTGATTTAGTGACGGAAATTCATTCTAGGAGTGTACTATTTTGGAAAAACGTTTAAAAAAATATTTGTTTCACTTAAGACGTTTTATGTGATAATTTTAATCATTTTAACTAAAAGTAATGAATAAATTATATATATGAGAAGCTTTTAAAAAACAAATTGTAAATAATTGGAAATATCACTGCCCTATGTTTAATGATATAAAACCAAGTCTTTGTAAGTAATCGATAAAATAAATAATTCTCACGTAATTTTTATTAAGATATTTCATTCAGGAGCAGTTTCATATTTGAAGACTTCATAGTTCTTTTTTTTTCATCTTGCACTTCGAAAGGTGTTTCATAAATATTTATGTTTGATATTTTATACTGTTGGATAAAAATGAAACCATTAACTAATTTTCTATTCATTTTTTTAATTTTTCTAAAACATTTAACATATTGCGTGTTGTTTAATTTTATAATTTTTACAATACAAATGCAAAACTATAACAATAATTTATTTCTATTGTTAAATGTGTTAAAAAAATACTTTAAAAATACATTTATTATTATCTGAATATGTACATAACTAGTGCCCCAGGTTTGGCATGCAATTAAATATATTTTCAATTCTATACCGATGCAGAAAAATTAAATTATATACTAATTTTTACAATTCTATCTTCAATTATTATATTTAATTATACAATTTAAATGTTTTTGATACTTACTCTAAACTTCTATATTGGTCAGTATTTTCCTTTAACATCAATTTCAATAAATTATTTAAATGAGATCTTTATACTAAATTGCATAATTTTAATGAGGTAGACGATGCCGTTGTAGATAAGCAGCAGTCGCCAGCGACATATCAGTCTCTTTCTTCGGTTTAGCAATTTTATTAATTTCGTCTCCACGAAGATATTTCATGGCCAATGCATCAAAAGCAGCACTTTGATCCACTTTTGGAATGGACAAATCATTTCTTAATATTGGTGTTCTAGGAGTGTTCAACATCATTTCCACCTGAAATAATAATAATTCTGAAACATGAAAAATGAAGTCTCAAGCTGAGGTAAGGATTAATTGGAGAAAGTAAATGATAGAAAATTACTCTTATTTATGAAGGTATAAATATTTTAATAATTCTATGTGAAAATTGTTAATTCAAGATTCTACACACTTGTCCCAATACATTATCCAGTGCTGGTGGAGATATAGTTGGAATATCAGCCTCAGATGGAATTGTGTTACAAGAACAGTCTTTCTTTTCATCAATTCGACACAATATCAATTCCAACTTCTCATGTAAACTCTCCAGCTTTTGATCTTGCCTTTGAATCATCGTAACAAGATCGTTCACAGGAATGTTGGAAGCAACGTCCTGAATATCCGAATCTGTTTGACAACTTTTACTCACAGTTGAAAGTGTTTCTGTTTGACATGCTTGACTCGTTTTTGGTAAAGGCAATGGGATTGAAGGTTTTGTAACAGGTGCAGCTGTGTACACCAGAGGCGATCTTGGTAATTCAAAAGTGCTTAGTTCTAAATCTCTGCTAGGTCCCATGAATCTGACTTGTTTTACATTAATACTACATGGTGGAGGATGTCGGGGCATCTCTGGTAATGCGTTAACATGATTCATTTTTTACACTTGCATGAAAGAATACTAAAATGTGAGCTTAACCTCACAATAAATAAATATTTAAAACTGGTGGATGGAACTTTACTTGGTTACATTAAAACGGTTGCTGGATCGATTCCATATTATTATATCCCGGCATAAAATATTTGTCTGCAGATCAAGGAACGTAATTGGTACATAAAACAAATTTAATTACATTAAAATTAAAAATTAGTTTCTAAAAATTGAAGCAGTATTCTATTGCATAGTTCTAATTATAAATTGTTACAACATGGCTTGCTATAGTATGCATGCCGCAACTTAATGCAAAGCAATATAACTTGAAACTAATTTCTATAACAATCGTTTTGTTTTGACATTTTGAAAAAACAATAAAATGTTTGCAATAATGACATTAGATTAGTGTTGCCAGAGATGACAATATTGATATCATCTGTCAATCATCTGTCAGTTATCAATCATCTGTCATATACGTTGAAAAGTAAAGTTGACTTGAAATTTCTGCATCAAAATATAACCAAAAATTGTGGTATAAATACAATTGTTTTATATTATAGATAAAATTTAGTAAAACCACATAAAAAATTTATTTATCAAGTAATCAGTGTTCACATGCATTATTCACCTTTGATAAAAACATTTCCGCTGATAAGATGATAAGAAACTAATGCTGTATTTACAGTGCATAGTGTCAATAAATTATATTATAATAACATTATTTTAATTTATGTCTTATTAGATATACATTCAGTATTATGACTATATTTAAGAATAAATATTTTGCAATAATTTGTGGAACTTTTGCATCGACTTCTAGCTTATTTGGAAAAGCAGTAAGTTTAGTAGAAAACAATGATTATCAGGTAAGCAAGATACCATTCAAAGACATTTAATAAACCTATGTGATGTTTTAAACTTCATTTTTAAAGGAAACTAATTATTTATATAAATGTCTTATGAATTCCATTCAACTCCTTTTGGCTATTTCTATTACTTATACCATGGTATAGCGAGTATATAATGAATCATTTTTATTTTCATTCATATCTATTTTATTCTTTGATATCAATCTCCTACGATACATTAGTACTGCACTTGATGAAACAATCATTGAAATAATAATTTAATTTTCTCAAATTATTATCATATTGTGCAATAAAGGTTTATATTTTTTAGTTTCATTGTTCCAATACATGAACTCTAATTTTATAGATGTTTCAATTGTACAAACTTTTTTTTGGTATTACCTTTTATGATAATCCAACAATAATCAAAATTAATAAGATATATGATATCAATAATCATATAATATTCATATTACAAGATGTTGGATGAATTTTAATATAAATTTTATACATCTCAGACAGGCGGAAGTGTCTGGTATGAGAGATCATACAAAATAAAATATCTATACAAAAGTATATATTTATTTTCTGTCATTATTATATATATAATATGATCATTACAACATTTTATATAATTTATTCTATAATCCAATCATACATATATTCATTTTTACATTCATACTTTGGTGTAATTTATTTATCTAGATTTTTTTATATTATTCTTTTAACTTAATTTTTAAATTATTTTCTTCTTTGGTCATATTTATCTCTTTGGGAAGCCCGCTGAATAATTTCATGGCTCCATATAATGTTAATCCTAGTTTTATTTCAAAATATAAATAATATAAAATTTATTCATCAAAATTGTAACTGCTTAGTCAATGAATTTTAGTATTTAGTAATTCATTTATTTAATTTGTTTATATTAAGTATATATTTTTTAAGTTTATAATATTAATTTTGGTTAATTATTTTTAGGGCTTATTTTTGAAGGGTATTTTAATATGCTTTATGATATTATGCAATATGGCTATGTGGACATTTTACTTAAAAGCTTTAAATGCATCCTGTAACACAATCGTCCCAACAGTTACTAGTGCGGCTGCTAACTACATATTATCTGTAAGACTTAATATAATGATTTAAAATATATTTTTTTTCACTTTACAAGATATTTGTTATACCAATAGGCACTATTTGGGTACTATGTATTTGATGAATCTATGTCATATTTATGGTGGCTTGGCTTTCTTCTAATAATATTTGGATTGTATTTAATATGTGCAAATTATCAAGAGGATCCCCATTTGAACAATAAATCGGAATAAATTTGTAAGTAATGTCATTATAAGTAGTATGGAAGTATACAAGTTGAGAATAAGTATTCGTTATCATAAAAAATCTAAAGAGTATTCATGTTTTTTATCTGATTACTAGATTCTTATTTTCTCTTTTGTTAAGAGTGTTTTTGTAATTTTATTATTAATATTTTTTAAATAAGGATTATATATTATTTAATGTTGAATTTGTAAGATAAAATAATAATAGAATTATTATTAATTGATTAAAAAATACATACTGTACATATACACATAACACCGTTTATTACTACTTTTTAGTTTCAGTCGTACAGTACTAATAAAAAAATCAGAGTTTAAATGAAATGTAAAAATAATGAAATTAAATTAACAAAGGTTTGCAAGTGTAATATATTAATTTATTTAATTTTTACATTAGATATTATTGATCCAACCAAATTTGTATTAACTAAAATACAAAGCAAATATAAAAAAAGTTTAAAATTTATAAAATACTTTAAAACATATATATCCATAAAAGCTCCTATATACCCAAAATAAATTTTGTTATAAAATTATCCTATCATTCATCAAAATATTCCATTAAATCACCGAGTTTTTCTATATAAAAATCAGGTACAAGTTCTTGTTCTTCAGGCTTATTAGAAATCTTCCATGCTTCCACTTCTTCTAATTTGTTATACCAGATAAAACTAATAAAGTTTGAAAACCATTTCTAGTCCCTAAAAGTATATCTGTGTTACATCTATCTCCGATCATGAGGGTCCTTGCGGGATTTAAACCACGCCTGATTAAAGATTCAGCAATATAACTTGAGGGCTTTCCTAGAACTGTAGCCTTACGTTCTGCACAGGTTTCTACAGCTCGTACTATGCTACCACTTCCTATGATAATGAAAATAGAAGAAAATTTTAAATGTTTTAAAGATTAACAATAAAATAGTGATTTTGAAATTAAGATTATTTCAGTATTAGTTTTTAGAGCTTTTGAACTACCTGGTAGAATTATGTTGGCTTTAGATGGATATCTTTCATCTGTATTAGTGGCAATAAATAAACACTCAGGATTATCCAAGTAACTGGCAGCTTTGATCATTTTACAATAATTGAAATGTTCATCAAAACCTACAACTACTGCTCCGACATCAGGATCTTGTTTCAAAGTGGAAATATAAGTCGCTAGGTCAGTATTCATTTCATCTTTCTATTAAAAATACAATTTAAAGTTTGGGAGTTCAAATATGATCATTTTTATAACAATTTATTAAATGTTACATATTTAAAAATAATACATACACCAATAGGTAGATGATCAATTCCTGCCAGTTCAATTTCTTTTGCAATACCTTCGGATCCAATTATGTAAACTTTTTTCTTGAATCCCAAGTTTTTCAAATAATCTGCAGCCAAGAATGATGTACATTGTATTTCATCCTATAGCGAGATTATAAACATCCAAATCAGTTAATAAATGGGTGATATGTGTAATTCAGTTTACAATAGGATTCTTTATTAAAAGATACAAAAATATATATTTTATTTATGGCTAATAAATGATCTAAATGTACCGAAACATTCTCATATAACTATTATATATAAAACCATGGAAACATGAATAAATGTATATAAATTATTTTTAATACATCAATAGTATATTTATAAAAGAACATATATAACATTTATCCGTTGTTGACAATGAACAAATTATTGAAAGTAAAATTCTTACAAAGCTATCAATATTAGAGCTTTAAATGCCAATAATTATGGTCAAAGTTAATTACCTCTGTGGCCTGAAATCCTAGCCTATTAGCCTTTATCAAAGGAATTCTTTCCGAATTTTTGTAGAGTTATTTGTCACATAATAAATCTTTTTTCCTAGTTCTCTAAATTTGTTCATGACATCACAAGATTGCGGTAACGCATCTTGATCAATCCATAAAACACCTAATGATAAAAAAATTGCGATACATTATATATAATCATAATATAATATATTAATGATAAATAATTATTTTACCATCACAATCGGTTAAAACAGTGTCAAAAGAATCGACAAATTCTTTAAATTTAATTTTTGTTAATGATTTTAAATAAGTGCAAGAAGAACGGTACATGATTATAAATTTGAACTAGGTTTCTTTTAATTTAGAATTGAAAAACTACAAATATATATTCGGTTTTTATCAGAACTTGGACCGGCTTAATTGACACATGATTGATAAAAAAAACTTCAGCTAGAAGTGTCAAACCAAGGTTATAATAATTTTGTTTTGTGAATTTAAATAAATTATATAATAGTCAATTATATTTGAATAGAACCATTAAATGTATTAAGATTATTCATATTACAGAAACCAATTTCTTTTATGATTATTAATAATGATTCAATTCAATATTTCGGTTTTTGCAGAAACACAAATTTCAAAATGGCGAATACAACCCTTATTTAATCATTTCAAGCACCCTTTTAATAAAAGGCTTTTATAATTCCCTGTTGTCAGGATTACAAAACCCATTATGTCCAACTCTTTTTTTTTACTAAATTTTGGGTTCAAATAATTGTTAATCTTTAAAATACTTATATGATTCCAATATGAATCTTATATGATTCGTACTGAAAGTTTCAAATTTGGGATTTATTATTGCCATTATATGCATACAGTAATATAATGATTATATATTAACAATTTATTATAGTTTATTTATTATAGTTAAATTATTAACAGTTCTTAACAAAGGATATTTGTTATTAATGTGTGTGGACCGTAATTGTAATTATTATTCGATATAATAATTACTAAATTCCAAAATATCCAGTTTTCAAGTTGTGTTTTTATATTAACTAACTAAAATAACTTAAATTTAAATTCAAATATTGTTTGAACATTTGTATAACTTTAATAAACTTTCTATAGGGTAAGTTATAGTCATGGATCAAAAATCGAAAATGAAAATTTTTGCGTACTTCACGTTTCAAAGGTTTCTGAACATTTAGGCATACCTAAAAAAAAAAATGATGTGTGTG